AATCATATAAAACCCGCAAAATTTCAGTCCTAGAGTGTCTTTAAACATCTTCCCAACACATTCTGAGTGTGTCATGGACCATAACGTATACATAACAGCAAGGAGATTTAAGCATATGCAAGCAATTTCGATTTAATTCTGAATACAGCACTACTATGCCTACTTTCATTTCAGTCCTAGTATCTCCAAACTTCTTCCCAATTACGTTGGAAGAACCTAGCCCTCTTTTCCAAGAAATTCTGAATGCGTCATGACCAGTAATTTATACATAGCATGTTTGATGACATAAGACAAGACGGGGTTATTTCGGTGCATGATTTAGGAGACCCGTCTGCCTATCTGTACTGTCTGCTGACCTGTGTGACCTGAAACAAATCACACGCACTTCTGCAGGGCTGCTTCAAAGCCAAAGGTTGATAAGTATAGAATACTACACGGTGTATTCCGTATGACCCGAGGTTCCAGCCCGACCGTATAAGACGACAGCAAATTCTCTTCGCAACAAAATGTTCTGACGCCCACCAGAAAGTACAGTACATGCAAAAATGTTTATATCATACACCCAACAAAATGTTCTCAGACTGTCATATTCCGCAAAACCAACTTTTTGAGCCGCCGCAAAAGCAAATATCAAAACCCGACAGTGCACGCGAAAACGCGGCATTTCCAAGAATACGGCGAATGATACATGAGACACCTGTTCCTCCCTCTAATGGCTTTATTGTAATTCGTCAAACCCTATAAGGTTTGTGTGGTCAACTGTAATCTGGATTACCGACAAAGAAATTCAATTTGCCACATTCCTCCGGGGAATTCTATCACCACTTCAGACCCCTGCAATGTCTACTCACTCTTACTGGAATATGGTGATGACATATTTGATGTAGACCTAATATTCGTCAAGTCTACCTTCCAGGAAGGACTGTCAGCGCTAAACATAATTACATGTGAGATTAGGGATTACGATTTATTTGCATTGTTTCATGCACAGACTTATGGAAGCGCAATGGGACTTTTTGATATCTTGTTCTGGGAATAACTGCTCTCGGCAGAATCAATCTATGTACAGTGATCGTGCAAACAAAAATCAAGGGATTCAGAGAACCTAATACTTGTTAATCATGGATCTAGAAATGGAATTGGGCGCCTTCATGTAGAAGATAGAACTCTTTGCAGCGTCAATAGTTGAATGTGTATATCAAGATCAATTTTTCAGTTTTTTTAGTTGAATTTTTGACAACGTAGTACTACTACTAAATGTATAAAAATAATTGTAAAGAAACTATTTTGCCTCTGAAAACAGATAAAAAGCATTATACAATGTAATTTTCATGTTGTCGGGCATCCAGGAATCCCTCCAACAAAATATGACATGTCCACTTTACAATAGCCTCCCAAATGAATTTAAAATACAGTCTACACAATAGCTTAGGTGTCAGACTTTGAAAGATTTCTTCCTGACTCTGGTTGAGAAATCTATTGTGAAAAGCTGTTTTCATTGCTGACAATGTCACTTCCTTCTACATGTATGTATTATGCAGTTTGAAACTTGATGCTGTGCCTGATAAAATCATCAAACGGAGTGTACTCAGTCATTAGACCTCCTCAAAAGTGTTTTCCCTGCAGAGAATGACTTTCTTTTGGCCTTTCAAGAATTGCCAAATGCAGTTTTATTGTGTGATGGTTTAACAGTATCCTAAGTGGCATAAGCTCACCGAGTCACAGTCAATTCTCTGCCTACATTTCCGCTTCTTAATGTTATTTTGAAAACAAGGGATTTCCTAGTCATTGAACGGAAATACAGAATTTCGTATACAGTCCTTGTTATTGAATCTATTGTCAATGTGTTGTAATTGCCCAATGACTAAGTCCATGTTTTCCTCGGGGTGGTAGCATATCTTTATTAAAATTTTACCAACGATAATAGAAATTTAAGCAAACACGGGACGTGCCTTTCACAATTTGTAAACACTTTTCCCGTGAGTGATGACTTTGCTCCATAAATAGCAACACCTTGACATTGAAGTATTCCCCCAGGCCGTATGGATTACATAGTGGATTTTCCAAACTACTATCTTCCATTAGGGCAGGGACTTTTCACTTCCTGAATTTGTTATCGCCTGGAGGTGCAAAGTGCCCCCTCAATCTACCGGTAGACTCACATTCCCCGGAAGAAAGTGTCCAGCAAGTGTCACGAATCTGCCAATCATCCGCCAACACAAAAACATCCACCATACCACTTGTTGCTGCTACAATAACCAAGAAGCGTCCAATAACACTAGGGAATAAAAGATAACACTTAAGGAAGCCTCGGTGAAATCAAAAGGTTGTCTAGCAGCAGTTGTTAAATCATCTCTCTGTGCCCTTTTGTTCCTACCTCTAAGGTAAACGTGGAAAACGTGATCTGCTTAGTGTAAGCTCCGTTGCTTCTTCCTGTGGGAAGACACACACTGTGCCGAGGGAATTAGTGATTTACCAGTTCCTGCTGCCCTAATATGGTCACAGTGGCTTGTTCACTAATAAAAGGCAGGTAACTGGAGTCTCCAGACCATTAGACTAGTGTAGATGTTCGACACAAGTCTGTTATATCCGATTCGGTACATCACTTGTAGCAGCAATGCCTGCGTTTGGTCTGATGCGCCGAGCAGCTTCTTTTCCGCGTCAGGTATTTTGGTTATGTTGTTCTATTTCAATAACCCTGAAATGTATTTGGACTGTCAGGTCTAAACTACCTGTTGATGCTAGTGTTGAACTGTGAATAGTTTGTCCAACTTCGGTCATATATGACAGTCAATGTTGACCATGGTCAGATCCTAATTCACATCACCATACAGCGCCTTGGCTGAACAGTCTTCTATAGTAATTACGTGAATGACAGTCTCTGCCACATAGGGTGCATCTGTAAGCTGACTCAGGTCTGGTCCAAAGTTCTTTTCTGTGGATCCACACTGCACTGTGAATCAGTCTAGCTTCCCCCGATTTCAGCTTCCTGGACAGTGGGCATCTACATTTGGATTGGTCGTTTGCAAG